TGCTTTGGCTCCAAAGAGGAGGTTCTTGAGGAGAGCCCCGCCAGCCTGGGAGCGATGGCCGTCTGCCTGGCTGTCCCATCCCCACCCTGGCTGAATCCTGGGCCCCATCTCTTCTGACCACAGTATGGAAAATCCCTTTTGCAGACTAGAAAGAGACATACCAACATGCAAAATGGTGCTTCCATTGGGGGCAGAGTGCTGGTTCTTAGCTGGGGGCAATTTTGACATATGGCAACGTTTGGAGACATTTTTAGTTGTCACAGTTGGGGTGGAGGGATGCTCTTGTTAGAGTCCAGGGATACCACTGGACACCCTGCAATGCACAAGACATCCCCCGACAACGGAGAATCCTTCAATGTCCGTAGTGCCAAGGTTGAGAAACCTTGGGGTAGAATAGTACAAGGTGGCTTTTTACTTCCTTTGTTGTGAGTTTCCAACTTTTCCAAAATGGATACATTGATTTTAGATTCAGAAAATAATGTTTTAAAGAGAGGAAAACTTCTTTTCCTTTTAAGTGAAGCAAGTTTGGCACTTAAAGAAAGAGTAATTATGAAGGCGCCAAGAAAAAACAGAGGAAATACAGAAATAGAGAAATAAACAAATGTAGAGAATTTAATTTGACAAATATTTGTTGGGCACCAGTGAAGTTCAGGGTGCTGCAGGATGCTTGGCTTGAGGCCCCTCACAGTCTGCTGGGTAGAATCTTACAGGCCAAGCAAAACTCTCCGCTGTATGAGACAATACGAAAAACAAAATTAAAAGAGGAGGGAGGTTCCCCACCCCCCAGTGAGGGGCCTGGGAAGTCTTCAGGAAGAATACGAGACACTTGAGTTGGTCTTGAAGACAGTGTAAGTAGGATTCCGTTACCATCTGAGGTCAGCCTGTCTGAGTTCAAACACAGCTACCTGCTTGGAAATCGGATAATCTTATGCTAATTCACTTCTCTAAGTCTCTGTTTTCTCATTTAGAAATTCCATATAATAATGAATGAATACTGTCTTCTTAAAGGATTCACTGGGGGTCCATGTGAGGCCTGCGATGGGATAAAAGTGACTAATGAAGAAGTGTTCTCAAGCCTGACCCTAACTTGCAGGGTTATAAAGATTAATTGAAATGATACAGGACACAGCACAGTGCCTGGTGTGTTGTCGGTCCTGTTACCTGGTTATCAGTAGAAGAGGGGAGGAGGACGGGAAATCCTGGCCGAGGAAGACGTATGCAGCAGGCAGGTGGGTGCCAGGAGTTGGAGGGAAGGGCAGTGCTCAAGGTGCCATCGGCAGACCAGCAACACTGGCGGCACCTGGGGCTTTTCAAAACTGCAGAAGCCTCAAGGCCCTGCCCTGATTTGCTGAATCAGAAACTGCGTTTTAACAGGAGTCTCAGGTGTGCACGTTAATGTTTGAGTAGCAGGGACTGGAACACAGGACGAGGTGTGCTGGTAGGTGCAGCTGAAGACTGGGCTGGGCTGTGCATGCCCTACTGAGGAGGCTGCAGAGGGGACAGGCAGATGGACAGACAATTTAAATATATACGGCGCGTTATAAAGTAACACATACACATGCACACTCTCTTTGGCAAGTGGAAGGAAGGTATTTGAGATTTGGAGTGGGCGGCTGGTTTAAACAGCCTCTTGGTCATTGGGAAGGTCTCTGGTCCCTGATGCTTAGGAGGGA